GCCTGCTCTATGCTCCCACCAGATCAACAGCCTTCTCCATGAAGAAGGCTCTGAGCAGTGGATACACCTGTAGGGTGAAGGAAAAATCCCAGTGCTGATGCTTAACACAACAAACAGAGGAGAGGAAAGAAAAAGCTAAATTCTCCTAGGGAAATACCTTACTGCTTATTCTTGGACAATTCACATGCTCTTTTTTAAAGGCAATGTCAGAGAAGACTCCCTGAGTTTTTGGAGCAAGTCATATGAAAAGCTGCTTTACAACATACATTTTAACCCACAGGTCCTCACAAAATAGACAAACATATTTTAGATTTCATAGCTTCACTGCACCGAGGAAATGCAGCAAGAGAAGGCGATTTCACGGTGTTATACAATTCAAGAAGTAGCTTGTTTTTGCAGGAACTCTGAGTCAGTACAATGCCACATACGCTAAATTACAAAAGCTACCATTCGCAGGATTAAATATTAAATTATTTAAGCAACCTAATGCTGACTACTGTATGTTCTTTTAATTCTTTTAAGAAACTCATCCTGACTTCTCAGAGAGCAGCCTACTTAAAAAGCGAACAACCTTCTGCCTCTACTTCATAAATGGGAAAAAAAAAGAATGGAAAAAATATATAAATCAAGAAGCACAAGTAATTCTAGCTTTTATTAAAGGAATTTCCCCTGCCTTTACAGGCCATGTTGCTTTTCATCTGCTTGCGAAGCAGGTGCTAGAAAGGCACGCTGAAGCCTTTGTGGCCCACGTGGTTTCCGACGTGGCGCGCTCTGGGGAAGGGAGGTGGGCCAGGACATCCCTGTGCTCCCTTCTCCACGCTGTCCCTGCTCCCTCCTCTGTGGTTGGACCTGTCTGCCTGGGGCCCAGGGAACAGAAAGAGGCAGGAGGCAGCAAAAGCCGTCTGGTGAAGGGGGAAGCATCGCTCATCCAGCCTCCATGGTGTCAGAGGCTCTGCCGGCAAGCCACACTTAGACAGCAACGCTTCCCAGATCAAGGGCAGAAACACTGAAATAGCGTTGTCCAGTGTCTGCTTAGTACAAAACCCGGAGGCACCTCCCTCCGACCACTCTTCATGCAGACCCCGACCTGACTACCTTCACCTTGTACATCTTTACACGAGAGGAGGGTCTGGCTCACAGAAACCCAACCAAGACTGTGCGGGCAGGGCAGAGCCTCATGCCATGGAGGTGTCCCTCCCAGACACCCACTCGGGGCCCCGGAGGGCCCTGCCTTGCTTCCGACTTCAGAAGCCACTCCCGAGGAGTTTGCAGGTGTAGGCGATAGCCAGCACACCTCAGTGCTGTCAGCTTTTGTTTCACACAGCTAGGATAATCTAGAGGAGGGGCACGTTCATCACGGTGGAACAACCTCACGGTAACTTCAGGCTCCCTGCAGGTCCCTGCTGGGATGCTCATCCTGAAGGCACACGGCAGAGAATGCCCAACAACTCACAACACAGCCTCTCCTCCCCAGGACACACAAAGGAACTGGAAAACTCACCTTCACCACTCGGAACAACGTGATCCTTGCTTTCCATGACTGTGCACGCTGCTGCAACATGAAGAGTTATTCTGCTTTTATCTGTACATTGGCTAAGTAGGTTCTGCAAGCACATACGTTTTAGCAGAGCCACAGCATTTCAAGGTACCTTCTGCTCAGCATGGGTTTACTGCAGTTCAGTTTAATTATTACTACTGCTTTGCATGATATGTACTGTACTTACACAAGTAGTGTCCCAACATGAGGTCCCTCTCAAGCATTCTGCCACCAAGCCTTTTCTGCCCAGCGGAAAGGCAGCGGCTTGTCCAGGCAAGTAGGATAGCGGGCAAGTGGTGGTCTCTTTCCACACCCCTAGGTAAGTCACTCGTGCTGCTGTATCACCGTGGTTAGTACAAACATGCTCTTCTGGAGGTGACGGAAACTCATCACCTACACAAAGTTACAAGTACTAAGAAAGAAAGGACCAAAAAAAAAAAGAAAAATCCCCCAAACCTGTAAAAATACTTAAACAAATAGCTGCTGCCTTCCTGAAACCTAGAGCCTGACATGGCCATGGGGTGCAGTGCCAACTGGCTGGCAGGCTAACCCCACACAGCAAGTCCTCTGGAGGTGAATTAATCCCGTGCAGAGAACAAGAGAGTGATGCAGTATCTTCAACGCAGTCAGGGAATTACATCTTGTCCACACACTCATACTTAACCTTTATTGTGCCAGCATCTCACTGGACTCAGGTATTACCATGGAAGTACAGGAGAGTGTGAAAGTCCTGCCTCCTCCCATGTCCCAGACTCTGCTGTCCACCCAGGGAGCTGCAGCCACCACTGCCCGGACAAACACCACCAGACAAGCCTCAATTCCACAACCCACAGCAGATTTACCCTAAAACTGCTAACAACAGGGTCTTCACCTCATGAAACAAGAAGTCTATCAAGGCCTTACCTGTCTCCTATAGTGACCGACAGCAGATACACAGGGAAACCACTGAAGTATGGACAAACATATGACTACATCTCTCTTCCAGTAACTGCACACAGCTCCCAAAAAGCTGTGTCATCAGCTGTACCAATGCCCATCCTCTGCTCATTTGTTTAATTGCTTCTTGAAACTACGCACATTTCCCAAACAGCCCAAGGCAATGGATTCTGCAGTCGCGCACCGTACAGGCAACCCCTCCTCTCTCCGCTTCACCCTGGCAAACCCGATCGCACCGACACTAATCCTTCTGCCTTCATTTTCTGTACATCGTTCATGCCTGCACCACTTCTCCTAACACCCTCCTTTCCCCACGCATTGCTTTTCCAGGCTGAATCCCGCTTGTTCCAATCCCTTGCAGCAGCTTTTCCCTACCTCCAACTCTCTTGGTCAACTCCCCCAGCACTGTTGGCAGCCCATGACCATCCCTCGAGGCAGGCACACTGGACACCCCAGCTGCACACGCTCAGGCCACGTGGTCCGGCAACAACATGACAATGGGCTTGCTTTGTTCTCCTTCCAAAACTTCCTCCACTTCTACTTCTCCTCCTGACTGTTTCTAAACCCTGGGCCCTCAGCTGTCGGTAATGACTTCAGCATATTTTGCAAGCAGCACTGACTCACGGAGAGTGGCACAGGGCAGAGGGCAGGAATAAAGTATGACTGAAGAGCATTATCTTACCCCTGGAGCACAGGCTTCCTTGGCCGTCGTGCTGCCCAGCCACCCAGGATAACCAGACCCCTCCGCAGCTGCTTGGTGTGTTCTCTGGTCCCCACAGCCCTCTGAAGACAAAGCCAGCCAAGCACATAACCTACCCCTTCCTCCTCTCCTCTGCAGATCCATTATCACTGCTCAATGGTGGAGAGCTCGGAGCAAATCCCTGTGGGACCTCCAGGATGTTGTGAAACCTGACCGCTCAGCTTCCTACACTACAGGCAGTCACTAATCCAGGCCAAGAACTTTCTCATCCC